CGCGGCCGCACCGCGATGGCGCAGGCCGGCGAGGCGGTGACGCGCGCCCCGGCCGCCGGCGCCGCCATGGACAGCAACGTGCTGGCCATCGTCGTGGCTGCGAGTGAGTGGCGGGGCCGGGCGGGCGGAGCGGAGGCCCGCGGGTCCTGGCGGCAGCGCGGGGGGACTGAGGCCGCCGAGGGCTCCGCCGGGTCTCTCGGAAGCGCTTCAGCCTCCGCGCTCCCCTGGTTGCCTCTCAGCGCGAGGAGGAGAAGGGATTTGGCGAAGTGGAGCCCCCGCTCTGCACGAGCCGCCGGTTCTGCCCTGTCGAAGAGCCCGCTTGCCGGCCGGAGCTGCTCCCCGTGCCAGGGCTGCTCCCGGAGCGCTGGCTTTGGATTTGGGATCCACTCGAGCCCCTGCGGGGGCTTGTCCCTGATCTTCCAGGGGGAGGCATATTTTCGGGGTAATAGGGGTAATTAGTGTCTTTGGGGTGCAGGGCAGGGGAGCCCGTGCTTGCCCCTGCCTGTTCTTCCCTCGCTAATCCAGCGGGATGCAGCGGGGAGGCTGCCGCAGGCTCTGCCATTGGCTTCTCCCTTCTCCCGGTAGCCGTGTCCACGTCCGTGTTCATCGTGGCCATTCTGGTCCTGCTGCTGCTCCTCTACCACCGGGACCCCCTGTGCTGCCAGTTCCTCTGCTCCTGCCGCTTCTTCCAGAGCCCCAGCCAGTATGTGAGTATCCCCCTGTGCCCCTCGCAGCTGCGGCTTCCCCAGGCTTTCAAGTGGGGAAGCTGGTGAGGGAAAAAGAGCAGCATGTTGAGCCAGCGCAGCCTTGATGGTAGTTTCTGCTTTGGGAAAGCCTGGTGTCCCCAGGCTACTGTGATCCTGGTTTGGGAGGAGGACTCTGGAGTGTCCAGGAGCAGAGGGAACAGTTGCCTTCAGCCTTGACTCACAGGCAGGAAAAAAACTGTCCACTGAAAGGCAAATCCAACAGTCCCGGGCTGAGAAATCCCCAGCAGGAATCCCAGCAGAGAGAGGCTGCCGTGCTGGTGTCCCCCGCATGCTTTGCTGGACCTGCTCCCTCCCACTGGTACAGCCCGGGTGCACGGGGAGATGTCCCTGCTGCTCAGCTGTGCTGCTCGCTTTGCAGAGCCGCTCTCCAAGGCTGTGCTAAGTTCACATTTCCGGCCACCGGTTCCTTTTCCCCCTTGTAGGGGCTGGGGATGCCCAGTTGTCCTCCAAAGGGGACATCTCAGGTCTAGGGACGCTTGCTTGGGTGAGGTACATGGGCTTGTAGCTGCTCCGTCTCTTTCTGCTGCGTGCAGGGTCTGTGTCCCAACACATCCTTGCACAGAAGCTGTGCTGCTCTGAGGCAGCTTTCAAGCCAGTAGAGTTGTGTTGGCTGTGCTGACTTTGCTAATCAGCATTAAAAACACGAATGGTTGTCTGTTTTTCCCTATGACTGTTATAATTGCGTGGTAGAGCTGGGACAAATATTTCCTAAGTTATTAATGACAAAAGGAATTCTTCCTTTTGTAGTTCACACTTCAGCTCGCTGATGATAGGGAAGAGGATAGAGAGGTTTGCCGGGTGCTGCATGGGGTTTGCTCTGAAGCTGGAGAGACAAGAGCCCGTTTGGGCTTAAGCCGCTTCCGCAGGCTGAGCCTCCAGCTGCCGAGAGGCAGGAGCGCAGGGATGCCGCGGGCAGAGCCAGAGCAGCGGGAACGCAAAGCCCTCAGTGCTCACGAGAGACTCACGTGGATGCTGCCAATCGTGGGCATGGGGCGGGACTGCCGCGCTGAGCCCTCGTGGCAAACTGCCACCTCACTTTCTCTGAAAATATCGTGGCCGTTTGGGGCCATTTATTGCTGGTGGAAATGGGGCTTTTGGGGAACAATGACATTTGTAGAAATTGAGCCCTGGCTCCTGCATGGGGTCCCACAAAAGGGACCTCTGCTGCTGCCAAACACCACCTTGGGGAATTTGGTTTAACCGGGACAAGGCTCTTTACTCGGGAATGGAATGGCTACTGTTCTTCGAATCTGCTTGCCACGTTATCCTGTAACGACTTCCCTGGTAGATAAGCATTTAAAAATCCTGTCACCTTGAGCACATGACTGAGCTCTTATCTTTATTAGTGGAATAGTTGAGTAGTTGTTATGCTCCATCCCTGAAATAATTCTGCTGAGCCTGAATGAAACTCTGCCTTGGAGGCCAGGCTGCTGCCTCCGCTCGCTGTGCCAGGCGGGGATGTCGGCTGGCTTGGCAACTTTAAGGGGACCTCATGCTGCATAACAGCTGGCACAGACAGCTAGTCAGGCAATAGACAGGCAGAGCTGGTGGCTCTGCGCTCTGACCACGAGCAGCACTGCGAGAAACCGAAGGGAGAGCCATGAGCCCTGCAAGGGGGACAAATGCCCCATTGGGCACGGAGAGCAGCTGAGCAGGCTCCTTTCCAGGTGCTCTTGCCAGTGACTTAAGTGCATGCCTAAGTGAGCAGCAAACCGCTCCAGCTCGTGCTTCCCAGCTTTCCTGGGAATGGAGATGGGCTAGTGGGATGTTGGGGATTTCTGCTTGCACTCACGCTCTCCTCCGAACTCATTACAGGACTGTCCCCCTCCGTACTTCAGCAGCAGCCAGCGGCTGGTGGGACTCCAACATGGAGCGTCGCGCCTGGAGAGTGCTGCCGAGAATCCCGGCATGCAGGTGACCTGGGTATTCCCTGGATGGGTGCAGGGAAAATGCTAGCAAAAATCCCGAGGAATTTGGGAAGAGCATGTAGCTACGGGCCCCTCAAGGAGGCCATAGGATGCTATGTTGTACTGCCATGAGGTTTTTGGGCATCCAGTGCCACACAGATTCCTCTTGGCCTGGGTCTGCATCATGAGGGTGCAGTGTAATTACCACAAGATCAGGCCCCAAGGAGGGCACAAGTTTCCTCTTGTGGGATCCAAGGAAGGGCACTCGCAACTCCAGGTGTCACTTCAGGCCAGGACACTAAGGTTTCTCTTCTGGCCTGGGTATTTCTAGGGAGATGAACTATTCTGCGTCGGACCCCCAAGCAGCTACCAGCTGCCTGCCTGGGAAGAGCCTCGCTTGCCGAGCTACGAGAGTGTGCGGAAGAAGGATCGCCAGCGGGAAATCCATCAGATGATCGCCGAGAGGTTTGGCCTGTGGGCAGACCCTTCCCAGGAGGTAGGTGCCCTGGGCTCAAGGCTGTTCTCCTGGCAGGGGCTCAGGAATGGTCTTCCTCTGCTCTGTAACTGTCTTGCTTCAGCAATTTCCAGTAGCAGAGGACTCTGTTCTCTGTAATTGTCTTTCTCTGATAGCCTTTATCTCTGGCAAAGGCACAGAGTGTTCCCGGAGGCGCCGGTCGCTTACATCTGCGCTGGTTAATGATTGATCCCTCTCGGCGCATTTGCAGCAGTGCCTGTGTGGGGAGGAAGGGCAGAGCTGCTGATGAAAGGGCAGGTCCTCCAGATCATCTTCTCAGAAGACTGAACTGGGAATGTTATTTTTAGATCTGTAAGACTTCCAAAGTCTCTTGTTCCCTTCTCCCTCTGGGCACCTCTGACAGGCCCCTCACTGTTACCTTGAAATGCTTATAGTTTATTTACAAGCAGGAGGTTTTTGCTGCTTAGGATGTCTGAGACTTGCACTTCTCCCAACAGAACAAAGCAAGTGCATCTGCCAAGAGACTCCTGCAGGATACAAAGGCCTTATTGACCACAGCAGAAAAGAAACATTTGAAACCTGTAGCAGGGCACTAAAGGGCTCACCCATTTACCTACATTTTGAGATCTTAGAGCTGCATCAAAAGCTTGGCACTGTCAGCACTCCACCACTTGGTGCTTGCCCTTCTGGCAGGCAGTACGTGGAGTTGTAACTAATGATACTTGCCCTGTTACCCTGAGCACTAAAAGCAGAGCAGAGTAGGGCCTAGATCCCCCAAGAATAACAAGCTAGGTATGTAAAATGCAAAATCTCAGCCCAAGTGACTTCCTCAGAAGAAGCGGGAGAGAGTGGTGATATTTACAGTTAGGAGGGGTGATTGCAGCAGTGATTGGTGCTAGCACAGCAGGGAAAGTGGGAGCTCTTCCACAGCACCCCCGGAACCTCTGAAAGAAGGGAGAGAATTAGCCCAGCTCTTCCAAAATGCAAAGTAACTACAGCTCAGAATTCCCTTTTTGCTGTTATGTAGTGGAACTCCCTATCAAAAACTGGATAGAAAGTCTGGTTTCTAGGGACTTATATAAACAACTGTACAGCAATTTATACTTAGTCAAAAGAAAGCAAGCCACAATCCTCTTTCAACATCTTTTTTCCCTTGTAACAAATAATTACAAGCCCTTGAAGTGGGATAGAGAAGAACAACAGTTTGGTATAAAGCGTGAAGCAGGAGTAGGTGGAAAACACCGTAGCTGTTCTAGTTGACTTGTGCCCTGCCTCACTACAAACTGGTACTAAGTAGTAATCTTCCAGGTGTTCATTTAGGCAGCAACATGCTGAGGATTACAGGAATTTAATTTCATGGATGTGGTGGTTGTTATGTATTGCCTGCTCTAGGAAGAGGTGGGATAACCTCTTTTGTTATTTCTGATCAGCTGTAATACCTTTCTTCTCCTGTTTACAGATGCCACCTCCCTACGAGCATGCTCTGAGGCATCCTCCAGCTTTCTCAGGAACAGGAATAAGCTCGGAGACCTTGGACAGACTGGGAATGCCAGTGCCTTTCCATGACCCTGTCTGCTACCAAACTCAAAGGAACACAGCAGTGTAAGGAGCCAACCTCACAACAGTGCAGCCTCCTGTGGTGTCAGCGGCAGAAGTGCCTGTAACATTGTGCTTGTCTGCAGGGAACAGCTAAACCAGAGACTTTCACCCAGATTTGCAACCAGGCGAGAAACGCACAGGCAAGTTGGACCCAGCCAGTGGAGACTTCCATCCTGCAGCACAGGGATAAAGGCAGAGCCACCACCAAATATTCCTGTTTGTCCAGAATAACCAGGCATGGCTCTTCTCTGGCAGATGTGCTGTTACCAGAGCTACTTTGTTCTACACAGGCAGTAAAGGCAAAGGTCTGCTCGGCCAGAGCCTGTTCAGGCAGCTGAGTGCAACGCACCTCCATGAGGCTGTGCAAGTATTGTCAAGCACACCAAGTATTAGACCTGAGAAGGTGGTCACCTTCTACTACTTCACTTATTTCTTAGGTTATAAAATGGTTTTCTGTATCAGGTGGGAATCTTGACCCAAGAGTAATGGAATGAATCTGCATCAGAGCATCGCTCTGGGCTCTCAGAGCCACGTTCCTCTGGAAGCTGGAGCAATTTTGTGTGAACTTAAGATTCAGGTGTCCAAGAGATTCCAGACTGAAGATCCAGGAGCTTGTGTTACTTGTGGTTTTGTATGCAGAGACAAACAGGATGAACTGTGTGACTGGACAAACAGCTGAGAAAGGAGGGAAGCATACAGGGAATAACTGGTGGTCTCTGAGAAGGACAAAAAGGACTGTGGAAATATGTGGTTCACCCAGGTTACTTGATCTTTCTTTGCAGAGCAGCCAATCTAGCAATGTCAACACTGGTGTTGTTACACCACCAATTTTGATACCATTTTTTACTGCAAAACAAATGTTTTACAAATTGTTTACAAAGCTGTAGATAAAGTGAGATGAGTTTGGCCACCAGGCATTTGGGCTCCTGTCTCTCACAGCAACATAAGCAACCATGAAATGACTCAGAAAAAAAAAAATAAAAGGATAGCCTGGATTATGGCTTTATGATACACCTCATGGCCTCCAGCTGCTGAGTTTCAAATACCATCCCAGATTTGTGCACTTTACCAGACACTCTAAAATTAGTCATGAATTAGCTTTAGGAATGTAAACTTACCTTGTGAGGCGAGTAAATGGAACACTTGCAGGCATGGAATTGGAGTTAATCAGTGAGGTGAGTTAGTTATTAAGAAAAACCTTAGTTATTAAGAAAAACCTGGCTTCTGCAGGGTTAGGTGCTAGTGGAAGAGGATCTGTCCTCTTCTGCAATATCTAGAACTACGACACCTATAAAACAGTAATGTCTACAAATGATTAAAACTTAACAGGACATTATTAGTGGGAAAAGAACCAATTTGCAATTTTTTTTTGAGGTTAACTAATTCAAAGAAACAATGGAGCAGGTTCTTCAGAGAAAGAGAGCTGTGTAAATAAGCATAACCAACATGTATTCTGTGAAGAATCAAAAAAAAAAAGCATTTATTAAACTCTTATAATGCCTGCAGGCGATTCCAGTGCCCAAGTACTGAGCATGTGTGCTTTAGAAGCAAGAACACAGTTCCACACAAGTAGCTTCCAAGCTGGAATAAATATTCTACCAGGACATGATGTCTTGGGGTGCCAGACCAGCTAGTGATCTGTCCCAGCAGTTCCTCTCCACCTCTTGCTCCTATGTGATATAGGAAAATCAAAGCATATCCACCAGTTTGAAGCTTCCCACTTCTGTGGTAGGGACAACGCTGATGAAGGTTTTGTAAAGAACTGCTCCCTTAGGCAGCTGACAGATGATCTCCCTGCTCTCACTGCTGCGCGGTGGAGGGACATAGACCTCTTTGGTGTATCTCACAATCCCATCTTCAAGGGCGTAGAGGGTCTTGTTTCGGCCCATCCCCACCTGCAAGAGGATAAGTGTGCCCTTAGAAAGGAAAGGTTGGAAGCACATCACTAAAGCAGATCTGATTATCAGTCTGCCTTTAGAGTGAAGGAAAAAAAAATCTTTTTTTTTTTTTTTTTTTTTTTTTTTGAAAAAAGGCATCCAGCAAATGATATGTAATGTTTCTCATTACAAGTAAGGAGATACTCATTCCACCCTGAAGTACAAGAGCCCAGTTAGGTTACAGAGGATAAATGTTATGAGTATCCTGAATATAATGTTATGAGCATGATAAATGTTATGAGTATCCTTTCCCAAGTCACATAAGCACAGATGCAATTCTAAGCAGGGTTTGTGACTAAGAAATAGCAGGTAACGAAACCAAATTTCAACACTATATGGAATATTGGGGAGGAAATGAAGAAGCAGATTGTAAGAAAGGAATATTAACTATGGGACACTGTTGTGGCCTGCTGTTTTCTTGAGAACTGAGGAGAGAAAAACAACTTACATAAGCCCCTGGATGCCAGCGTATCAGCCGCTGGGTAGCCAAGATGTTGCCTGCGTGCACAAAGGTACCTGCAACAGAGTTACACAGTCAGACTGCAGAGGGACGGAGCTCCCTCGAGCCTTGGAGTTGGCAGGATACAAGCAGTTTTAGGACTTACAAAACCAGTTTTCTGTCAGAGTTCATAAGGAAAAATTACTTCAAATTCTAAAAGCTTCTAAACAAAACAAAAAACACTATTGGCAAGAAATAGAGGGCAATTGATGCACAATGGCAAAAAGCAATTCTAATTTTTGAAAAGACTACTTGGAGGGTACAGGGCATGTTTGCTAAAGGAATTTCTTTTACTACCTTTTATATCAATTTGTTTTCATCAGCAAACGTACTAATTTTTAAGCACTCAGCTGCAGGAATCTGTACTTTGGCTTCTGCTAAGCCTCCAAATTCTTTCCTTTGTAAATATCTAAAATGTGCAGCTTTTGAAAGCAGCATGGGGTGAAAGTGCACGCGAGTTACCAGGTGCCTCATAGTGCAGCCCCCCTACCAGGCTCTCGGGAGAGAGGTAAAGTCAGAATCAAGGTATGTTTTCTATAGGCAGCTTCAGCTGGCTGCAGGGAGGCTGACTCACCCTGCCCTCCTGCTGGGGACTGGTGCAATAGGGATGTTGGTGTTTGCTGAACAAGACACCTTGGGGTGCCTGGGGAGAGCCCACTGCTACACAGGTCAGTAAAGGCACCTGATTAATGCTCTTACCGTCTACTTTTTTTACTCCATAACGTTTCCCAGGGCTGCGACCACCCAAATTTTTGGAGCTGCCCCCGGCTTTCTTAGACGCGCATCTCACAGCAAGCTGGGTTGTCTGCGGCACAGCTAGAACTGGATTTGGAGTAAGAACAACAAAGAGGAAAATCTCAGCTGAAACCAAAAAATGCAATACTCTTTATCAGCCAATATAAATTTTAAAGCTAAAGGCAAAAGAAAGCCCTGAGAAAAATCTTACTCTGAAGTTAAACTGGTTTAGACCACCGTGGATTGAATCTTCTGCAAGAGGCCACCTTTCAAGAAACGCTGAGAGGAAGATTCTCAACCATGGTGTTAGAGGATATATACAAATTCAAATTTCAGTAATGCCTCGTAAATCTATGAGCTATGAAGCTACTGGTTGCTATGGATTAGCTTATATAGCCTTGAGAAAAGACCAATTGATCTGTGTTTTGGTCAGCCCTTCAACTGAATTTACTTTATAGTCTCCTCTGTAGGACTACAGAATGTTAAGACTCCCATTCAGGAAAATATAAAAGTGGGGATATAATTACCAACCTAAATGAAAACCAATTTGAGCACTTTATGCAACTCTTTGAGTTACAATCAGGACAAGTTATGGAGAAAGAAAGCAGTTGTTACAGTGACCACTGTCTCTGGAATACAAAATATCATTCCAAAAAGTTCTTTTTTAACAAAGGACACTTTGAGTAAATACAGCAACTTCCTTATCAAAAAACCTGACCCTTCAATGAACTCTCTGTAAAAACAAGGACTGAAATATAATTACAATGTAATTACTTCATTTTACAAATCTATGTAGTTTTCTTTCCCCTTTTTATTAAATACTCTTGTTTCCTTATTCAAAGTAGAAGCACTGAGCTAATTTAATCTTAATTAAATTATCCTAAATAGGCTAAAACACGGACAGGAGGGAAGCAGCTCTACAAGAACCGTTAACTTCAATGTTGATACTTGTTAAATACAAAAAAAAAAAAAAAAAAAAAA